TTGCATGTCCTTTTAATAAGGCCAAGAATCTTGTTAGCCTTGCTTGATATCTTATCAACATGAGCATTCCAGGACAACTTGTTACTAGTAACTAATCCAAGATCACAGAATTCAGATGTTTCTTCCAGAGAGTCTTGGTAGTCCTGATGAACCTGCTACTCTTACCTTTTTCCTTGCCCTTCGCTCACGTGGTCCAACTCCTTGTCCTTCCTTCCACCCCATCTTCTTCAGCAGCTCAACCCCCACGGACATTTTCACCGGCACCACTAGATCCTGTAGTGGAGGTACCCCTGGTATAACTCTCTCTGAATCATCAGAAGTCACCATTCGTTTGCGACGATTTTCAAGCCCTCTTTCCCAAGACAAAAACTGTTCTTTGGTTGCGATTCTTTTGGGAGCGATTCCGAACTCTCCCATATCGTCATCATCCATTAAATCCTCTGGCCTTTGCTGTCTTTGTTCGCCTTTTTTGGAGCGAGAAGAGACAAAAGTCGAGGGCTGCCATCCCTCTTTCGTCCCCACCGTGTTAAAATATCCGGCTGAAAAACCGCCCGTGAATGCGCCATGAAATCGTCTTCTCCCTTCAGTATCTGTAACAATTTGATCGTGAATGGGGGTAGCTTTTTTTCGAGGGGCGTCTTCTTCTAAAGGCTCAAACGGCGTTCCAAAACTTGCAAGCGTATCGTCGTCGCTATCCGCCATCTTGAAAATCGAGTCTGAAAGTAACGCATACATTTTTGGGATACACCGCTTTTATTGACATCCATTAGCGCGCAAAGCATCATGCGTGATGTAGATAAAGGTTGCTTAGTTACAAGCAAAGATGGCGGGCAAGAAGACACAGACGATTGAGCTGCGATAAATTTTCAAATTTTCTTCGTCAAAAAGGTTGTACACGACTGAAAATCAGGTAATCAGAGAAAAAAATATCCACATTTATGCTATTTTTGACCTTTGATTGAAAATGTTTCCCAACAGAAAAGATAATTTTCGCGTTCGAAGCCTGACCATTTGGAAAAGTTGTACTACAAACGTTTCTTAAATTACAACAAGCTTCAATTTTGCAATCTATTTTACAAATTGTAATTTTAACTGAGTGATCTTTTGAATTATTGTTAATCGTTTGCAACAGTCTTGAGCTTAAATTTGAAGTAAACTTGCTAAGGACGAAAGCGATCGTAATTTTTAGAACAAATGTCAATTCGATTGTACGTCTTTTAACACATGCCTACCAATTATGTAGTGTATCGCTCACGATTATGAGTTTTTTCTTTCAAAACAAGTTAGAATCGAAGGGATTGCTTAATTTCCAGTTGGGTTGGTGCAATTTTCTTGCGTAGTCAGCAAGAAAGACAGCAAACTTTTATTTTTCAAGTCAGGAGTTAGGATTTCAAAATGTTGTCCAGTTTGGATACCATACACATATCAGCAGTACTGGAAGACTGCATAGATCAGCTGGCAATCCTAGGTCACATCATGCCACCATCTTTGGAGGGCAAACAAGATGCAGCACAAATTGTAGATGATGAGCTGGGTCAAATTTTACGAGATCAGAGAGATTTAGAATCCAGATATGAAGTGGTAAGGATAAAATAAGAAAGATTTTTTGTAACTTTGTCCAATGAGTGGGGCACAGAAGCAAAATCTGAGCCTCCTGTTAGGATTCAAACCACAGACCCACCAATTTTACAGTTTTTACTTCATGCTAAGCTTAGGGACCTGTTACCTACATGTAGCCAGGTTATATACTTGGAGATGAGAACTTAGCAGCTTTTAAGAGCTCTTCTTCCTCATCACAGCAAATGTAACAATTTTTTTTTAATTATCAATCAAACATTAATGTTAATTGAAGTATTAAGTTGGGATAAAGAGATTTTGCAAAGAGTAGATGTTTTAGTCGCTTGATATTTTTACTGTAGTATTTTTTGCTATCGTGTTTAATTGTAGTTAAAAGTACACTTTAGGCATTAAGCTTCGAATTTCCTTCACACCAAAGTTATTTTTTCCCAGCTTGTTAACCAAAGAGACGATCCCAATTCAAATAACAGAGGTCTGCTAAAAGTACAAGATCTGCAAGCACACTCTGTGGCAAAGTCATTACGAGAAAACACAAATGGTATGTAAAGGGTTCCAGGTACAAATTGACCAATGCTAGGTAAATAAGGATTTAATAAAGTAACACATGTAATTTTGTACCTCGAATTAAACCAGGGACAATTTGTTTAAAGCAAAATTAAGCTAATCAAGGGTAAGGGCAAATTTTTCTTGTGAGATTTGTTCAGTTCAAGTTGTTTACATATTTTCTTCAGTTTCATTGTATGCTGTGTCTGTGTACGCTAAGGTGTGTATTGCAACAAGTGAATAAAAATCATTCTAGCACTTTCCATTGACCACTTTCAAAAATGGCTGCTGGATTAATATTCTTTTGTTTAGCTTTAAATTAGCCGTTCTGGCCTTGCTTGAGATAATGTATTCTTTTGAATTTTTTACTGGAGAACGAAGCCAGAAAGGCTAATTCAAATTTAAACAATAGAATATTAATCCGGCAGCCATTTATGAAAGTGATCTATGATATGATGTTTTAACTTCATTCATTCTGGGACTTTTTTTTTTACTGACCAATTCATTTCAAAGATTGGAAACAAACAACCCATAAAATACATTATTCATCCAATCAGAGATATGAACAATAGTAGTGCAGAGTGTAAATCTCAGTGTATATGAAATAACTTCTTATTCTTGACAAGAGAAAAATGCAATACTACGACAAGTAAGTTAGATAATTGCTCATAATTGAACTAACCATTTATGTACTAGATAAATGTGCTGTGCTAACTTGTACTTCAAGACATTCCTGTTGAACTTTATTTTTCAATCATTTTTAGTCTGCTAACTTGAAACCTCAAATATTTTGAATTGTTTTTCATCTCCTTTGGCAGTTCAATGTTATGGGATGTGACGGTAAACAAACTAGGTACTTCTATAAAGTAATAATAGTTAATTAATATGATATTAATATGATCTAATTTTGTTCTTGTACAGCACTGAACAGAAGTTTTAAACAGAACCCCTTAACAAATGACAGCCTATCAAAAATCCAAGCAGATAGGTAAACAAATGAATATAATTTTTTTATTTGTAAACAGCGATATTCAACGTTGCAATGTCAGTCAACATTTGATTTGTTCCTGTGCAAATCAGTACAACTGGTTAAACTATACAAAGTTGAGACTTACACTCAACATTAGTAGGCATATTCTAAAAATTGACCTACAGTGCTCTAGGTGAAACAAAGCATTCTTAAAATTTTTACACCCTTAATATCCATATGCATATTCTCCATACTCTTCTCTATACATTTCCTCTGGTGCTGACAAGGAGAATTTGTTTAACAATCAAGAGCTGCTTTAGTTGGTGATCATTTTCTTTATTCTTGTGACCTTAATGTGTAATTCAGGGGTTATATTGTAAGGAGAAATTAGATACTAGTCACTCCTAAAGTGTAAAAAAGATAAATGCTAATTCAACTTTATGTGAGTACTTTGTAACAACATGTACTATACCTTTAAGGTTAAGGTGGCCGAACACAGTTTTCGCGCGTGCTTTTGCTGATGCAATTCAGCGCGCACACAAGGATTGCAAAAAAACAAACATGCCATCAATAGAGCGGTGATTTTATTTACTTAACACATGCCTGCACTATCTGTGGTATTTTTCTCAATAGTTGACGCAGTGTATTGACGGCTTTAACCTTTTATTACAAAGATATGTCAGAAAAGTTAAAAGTGCAAAGAACCCAGCAACTGCGATTAAATGGAAAATTGCTCTCTCAGAAACTATTTCTTGAGAACCACTCATTAGAATTTCACAAAATTTGGCTCGAAAGTACTTTAGGAAATAAGTAACTGGAGTATCAAAAAAAAATTAATTTTAAACAAAGGAAATTCTAGATAATCAAATGAACCTTCAGCAAGGGATAATTAAAGATCTCTGTTAAATTGTTAGCAAAATGGTACTAACTTGTGAGTATAGTTACAAGTTTGTTGCATGCAAATTACAAAGAAAATCTAATGACCAGATTTTCTACAGATAAACAAAACCGGTTTTAATATTCTGTTCATATTTATTCAAGTCGCCATGGCAATGGCACATACGTCAGCTTAACTGTCGAAAAAACAAACTTTGTGTTTTTGACTTGCTTGCTGCCAGTTTTGGCAACCGAGAGATCAAGGGTTTTAGAGAACAAGGTGATTTAAGAAACACCGGTATCAAAAACTGTGTTCAGTCATCTTAAAGATTCTTGTTTTTCTGCAGGAAATTTCTCCAAGATGTGATGGAAGAGACGCTTGAAGAGATTGTCACCAGGAAGTCATTTGACTCTCTTGTCAGAGCTGTTAATAAGGAAAAAGAAAAGAAAGCAGGTCTACAACAAACCATACTCAAGTAAGTCGTATTACTATGGAACTTAGATGGATGCTGGGGAATTTTCAACCTCACTGGTGTTTGTCAATTAGAATTTTTTTTTGTTATTGTTGTGAAACTTTATAGGGAGGAAGAAAGTCGCAAACTTGTGAAAACTCTCCAAAGGCAACTGTTGGAGGTGAAAAAAGAAAAAGAAAGTGAAATTCAGGTAAGTATTCAAACTTTTTACGTAACTATGTTAGTTACACACTTTTATTTATAAACTTCACCCTCTACAACCTAGCTTGAGCTTCATGTTCTCCATTTTGTTCTTCTTAGATTTTTTGTTATTGACAAGGAGAATTTTTGAGGAACTTGTTTAATTGGTGATCAATTGAAGTATTCTCGTGATCTTTACGTTTGGTTCCAGGGTGAGCCTGTGGGGGGAAATTAGCAGCCAGTCATTTTATGGGGTCATTGCCGGTTAAGCAGAATAAGGTTTTTCATTTTGCATCAAATGTAACCAGTATGTGTGTGTGTGTGTGTGTGTGTGTGAGTGTGCGTGCGTGCGTGCGTGCGAGCGTGCGTGTGTGTATTTGCTTACTTATTTAGAAAAAAAAACTTGCAGCAAAGAAATGAGATGATAGCCCATCTTAAAGATCAGCTGCAAGAAATGAAGGCAAAAACCAGCATGGAAGGAAAATACATAAAAAAGGACGCAGAGGTAAGAATCCTGGACTATCCTTGTCACGCATTTTATAGTACATTCATTAAGTATTTCAGCTTTTAATTTCCTTTTCCAGCAGAACGATCGACTTAGTGCCAGCAACACTTTTTCCCTCTCTTTTTTTGACCTAAACAAGCTTCTGCCGAAGGTGTTTAGTTTTACCTACTGTTTTTAGCTTCCTGGGTGGGTTGTCTTTCTAAACCAGAAGTCTCTCTGAACCGGAAGTCTTCGCTATTGTACGTGTGGTTTATATTTGTGACCCTTAAAATGGTTTTTAATCCTCATTCTTATTATTCTGTGAGGATATAAAGTAATATTATAGTAATATAGTTTATATCTGACCACTTGCAGCCCAGAGGCTGAATTACGGGTGCAGTGTAAGGTTGAGAACAGACGTCAGCATATCAGGCGCCTCTGGCAGCCGCTTCAGTCTATCGATTTCACCTTCCCACCCATCCCACCCCAGGGGAGGACATCCATCACACAGTAATCTCGTGTGTGGGAAATTAACGTCTCCTGCCCCTAACCCTGCAAGAGACGGGAACTCCATTTATTCGTCCCTATCCGAGAAGACTAGAATATCTAACCATTTCTTGATGTTATAGAAAGGTAGCAAATTCTTCTCAATTATTTTAAGACCTTGAGTGTTATTCCCGCCGAGGCTCGAACCCTCGACCTCCCGCTCAACAGTCCAGCGCTCTATCCATTGAGCTAATCGGGAGGGGGTTGATATGCTAGGTGTGCCTTGATGGGGTAAATACTCCAATATCTTTAAGTATTTTTTGTCGTTAAAAAGGAAGCGAAATGATTGGAATTTTTATTAGGCCAGTAGGTGCACCCTCTCATTTTGGACTGATCTTTGAATAACAAGCCTATGTAAAGAAATCTGTAAGTACCAAGACGGTTTAGTCTTCTCGGGCATGCGTGATAAATCGCGGGTCCTGTATCAAACATACTATCGATATAGGATAGTGAATCACTGCTTATCTTAGTATCTTCTAAATGTTCTTGCGTTTTGGTATTTTCTTAGGTTCGCGTTAGCTGCACACAAAAAAGATGTCAGCAGGGGGAGAACTCCTTAAAGGAAGATCTCGAGGTAAAGTTTATACCTGTTAAAAAAATCATGGCGAGAGATTTTCAGTGTGTTGTGTGATGGGTTAAAAAACGAAAATGCTTGAATGGGGGCGAATTCGTGATGCGGAACTAGATGACTTAAACTGAGACTTTTTGAGATGCGAACGGCAACCAGAAGAAGCCGGACTAAAACAAACTCTGGCGCGCTTTCACGCTAATGTATCGACCGTAGTCTTCGTTTTAGCATTTTAAACCAAACTGTGTTGACCAAAAAGGTATACTGAGCAGCACGGAAAAGAAATTTTCACTTCAAGTAGCCGTCCACATCTCAAAAACAGATGGCGATTAAGCTCAATATTGTCAATATATTTTACTTATTATCCACTTCTTTTTAATTTTTGTAGTTATTCTTAGCATGAAAAATCTCTAGCAAGAGTTATCTTGCCGTCCGAAAAAGATTTTTCTTGCCCTTTGTCAACAGTTTCAATGTTCAGCGTTATTTCTTTTCCCATTGACAGACGTTGCACTACAAAATAGACGAAGAAGCTCGCGTTAATTCTGAAATTGAAACCTACTTACGGCAACATCATCAGGTAAGCTCCGATTAACGACAACGACAACGACAACGACAATTTCCCTACGAACAGAAGACTGCCTTTAGAAGTAGTTCAAGATAATTCGGTTTCTCAGCTGAGTTGATAATGTAAATTTGCTACCGTAAGGAGTTTCTGAACCTGACGTTTTGAGCGAAAAAAAAATAAACATTGCTGAAACAAAAATACGACTAGGTAACCGGTTCCGAGACAGACAGACAGACAGACACAGACAGACAGACAGACAGACAGACAAACAGACAGACACAGACAGAGACAGACAGACACAGACAGACAGACACAGACAGATAGACAGAAACAGACAGACACAGACAGACAGACTCAGATAGACAGACAGACACAGACAGACAGACACAGACAGACAGACACAGACAGACAGACACAGACAGACAGACACAGACAGACAGACACAGACAGACAGACACAGACAGACAGACACAGACAGACAGACACAGACAGACAGACACAGACAGACAGACACAGACAGACAGACACAGACAGACAGACACAGACAGACAGACACAGACAGACAGACACAGACAGACAGACACAGACAGACAGACACAGACAGACAGACACAGACAGACAGACACAGATAGACAGACACAGA